AGCGAGTCCCAGGACGAGGTGAACGATCGACAGGGTGGTGGTACGTGACCTTTTGCGCGAAGGATAACGGCAGGGGCGGGGTGGGGGACGTGGCGGTTTGCACTATGGTAACACGGGGGTGAATGCACGTACTCCAGGGGGCTTATCCTGCAACTTTTCGACGCATGCGTTTCGTATTCCGGAAATTTTCGCAATGCGTGACGTCACTGGTGTCGCGTCGGATTGCGTGCTCTCTCTCTCTCTCTCTCTCTCTCTCTCTCTCTCTCTCTTTAATTTTGCAAAACTGTTTTAATGTAATAATATAATATTATTATAGCAATATAATATTGTATCTTGTTACGTATATATTTTAATGTAAAATGTACTATGTTAACTTGACTTTATATTATATTATGTTATTTAATTGTGAGAATATGTTTGTTTTGTATAATATTGTTTCTACATAAATTGAAATTAATATATATTCTAGATTTGTTTTTCACAGGTGAACTAATGTATACTTTTTGTACTTGAAGTGAAATAGATATTTCATTTGAGCTTTTTTGCAAAAACAAAAGAAAAATTTTAATGCATTTCAGTGTATAAAAAAGAAATTTCCTCTCTCTCTCTCTCTCTCTCTCTGTTTTCAATAAAAAGCGTATTTCGTGGATAATCACGATGCATTAAAATAGCAATTACACTGCGTTCATCGTTGTAATATGATCGTCGAATATGAATCTTGCAGCGAGTTATTATACGTTAACCATAATAGATTATGAACCGAAATCGTTGAGGTCGCGTCGTGGTTTTAGTGGCGTAATGGATTCTGACTGCATTGATGACTGAACACTTGTGAATGCATGCACGCATATACGCACTAATCTACACATGTTACACGTAGAATTGCTTCTATTTTCGCGAGATAGCTTTCTTGTTGATTTTACAGAAATACGATGCTGATTAAATGCATTTTTTTCTAATTTCCAAAGTCTCGAATGTAAATCTTGGTAGAACGCTGTTTTACCACCATTAGAACGTCTTCGGGTACCGGCAAACGGAGAAGCAAGTGTAGACACCCTTAACGAGGGGAGGTTCCGAGAGGTCGTCCCTTGACGCCTATTCGTATACAACCAGAATAGCACCGCGTAGGATCGATATGTGCAATATGTATTCGGTTCTCGGCCTCATGTTCCTTCATTTTTATGCTTCCTGTAAATATCGCGTAAGAGAAATAAAGTAGTTTTCTCTGAATCGATTTTCCTAAGCAATTTCCAAGAGAATTTAGCCTGTAAACTGAGAAACGGTCGGTAATGCAGTCGGTCGTAATATCAGTTCGATACTTCGCGGCGGTAAATTCAATAAAAATTGTAATCTCAAGTTACGTGCAGTTTTTATTTCATCATAATGAAATATACAAATAGTGAAAAAACGGTATCTAGCTGACTTTGAAGTATTTTAATTATCCGTTAATGAATGAGAGAAAGAGACATAAAATCTTTGATGACAAATAGAGGTCGAAGCAAATGAATTCTGGCGAAAATAAAAGTAGTGAATTGTAAGTCGAACGTAAGGAGACAGTAACAGAAGCGTAAACGAAGCTTCTGGATGCGAAAATTGAGACAAAGGCTTGCGCTTCTTTTATATTTCGCTGTCATGTTACCGTAGAACTACTTCTATTTTCATAAAAGAAACGTAATGTCAAGTAAACGCGTCTTTTACGTTTCGTCGTCTCAATTTTTGTCTCTTAGAAGCTTTGTGCACGTTTCTATTAGCTACTCTTTCCTTTCTTGTATTCGATTTATACTCCAATTTTAATTTTCGTCAGGTAAATAGTTGAATACGAAGTATAACAATTTTGCTAAAGAATTTATACAATATATTGCTCAATTTAGTGAAATTTTTAATCGTAGTTGAATTGCCGCTGGTGTGTGAGAGAAGATGAGACACCGCGACAAAATGTTATTGCAGATGACACTCTAGCATGACGTGAAAAATTCACTGCGCGTTAATGTTCTCTCCGCAATATTGTGACTAAAATAAGAAACAATATTTCAAAATAACAGGTCATAAAAATGAATTTTATTATTCAAGAGGTCAATTTTGGATAAATTTAATTTCACTTAACTGGACTTATTTTATATTCCAAAATCCCAATTTTATTATCGGCAATGTTTATCGATAAAATTTACATGCCTATAATAAAAATTGTAAATTGAACAAACAATTAAGGAATGTATTATTAAGTGAAAAGATTCAATCGATAAATTATATATATTATGTTAAATAGAACAGAATAATAATACTAATATAAAAAAGTATGGAAACAAATTATATAATTATTATATAAAAATATATGTACATCTTATTTTTAAATTATTATTAAATATAAAAAAAAAATACAAAATATTTTCTTATTTCTGATAATTTATATTGGTTAATTCTGTTTTTACTTTTTACAATTTTTATTGAAATTACTTAAAATATTTAAACATATATTAAAATAATGAAACAATGACTGGATAAATTGAGCCATTTATTATTTGCTTATCTTCCATGCAGGAAAAAAAATTAAAAGTGTCATTGCTCTTTAATTACCTCCAGGTCTCCGGGGACACAATTTAGTAATTAATAGTCATAAAAACTTTCCCTGGAGGATCAATAGTTTTTAATTAATATTCAGTGATCGCATGTACATATACGTAGTATTTCTGTGCTTGAAATGGAATTTGAGATAGAATTTGAGATAGAGTACTGATTTGACGACTGCAGATGGCGTGAATTTATTCACTGTAGGTATATGAGAGAGAAGCAAGTCATAGCCATCAGAGTTAGGCTTTGGGTCAAAGATTCATTTCTTGCTTCTCGTTGATGTCGTATCATTCACTTTTTCAGAGCCTAGAATCATTTGGAACGTGCTCATGTGTCTTGCAAGATGGAGTTCTCGCGCGATTATCTTAGTTTTGATTTCTTTCATAATCTTCTTCATAAACACAACTTGATGATATTTGGCTTGTATGGTATTATAGGGTTTATTCTTCTGTCAATTGTTATATTCTGCACTCTGTTTGTGTACGAACATTTCTTTTGGACAAATAAAATAAAAGACGTCAGGAAGAAGCACGTGGTCGTAAGTTTCATTTAATTTTGCGAAAAAATATTTTGTTAAAATATAACGATGCAGAATGCGACATTATATCGAATTGAATATTAAATCTCTCTTAAGTCTCTTGATCTAGTATTTATCTTATAACTCTAAAATATTGTTTTGTGTAGGTGACCGGTGGCTCCAGCGGTATTGGAAAATGTATGGCGATTCTCGCTGCAAAAAAAGGAGCAAACGTCACGGTAATTGCGAGAAATGTGGAGAATTTGGAGAAGGTTAAACGTGAAATATTGCAAGCGTGTGAGAACAAAGATACACAAAGGGTAGAGTATCTTTCTTTAGACATTGGAGCAGATTATGAAACCGTTGAGAAAGCACTGGCCGATCTGGAGAATGATATGGGACCTATTTACATGCTTGTAAATTGTGCTGGTCTCGCGATTGCAGGCAAAATAGAAGACACCACCCCAAAGTCTCTGGATATAATGATGCGCACGAATTTCTTGGGTACATATTACTGCATTAAGGCTGTCACACCAAGAATGAAAGCTTCCAAAGAAGGAGTGATTGTACTTGTGTCATCTCAAGGTGGTCTCCTAGGTATTTGCATAATAAGTTATCTGTATACTAATATATATGTTAATTATAGCTTACATACATAAAAACATTATGTAAAACATTTTATATAACATTTATGTAACATTTATATAAATGGTATATAATATTTTATGTATTTTATATATTTTTTAATATTTTATAAATGTTATATAAAATGTTTTACATAATGTTTTTAATAAAACATTTATATAAAACAAGAAAATGTATTGCGCAGGTATCTTTGGATATACCGCTTACTGTAGCACGAAATTCGCACTACGTGGCTTGGCAGAGAGTTTAGCAATGGAATTACAGCCATACAACATTTCTGTCACTTTGTGTTTACCACCGGATACAGACACACCTGGTTATGCCATCGAAGAGCTATCGAAACCGATAGAAACAAAAGCCATATCACAGATGGTAAATTTAGTCCAGCCCGAGGTCGTTGCCGAGAAGGCTTTCGAGGATGCGCTGGTTAGTGCATGAAAAATAATTAAAAATCGTTTATAAATAATTAAGAAACGTTTATCGTTATATATGAAGGATAAATAGACTATTGCACTCTTGCGTTGGCTTTTATGCTCCTTGAATAATTATTTTGACTTGGTCGGAAAGCCGATATTATATAAGAATTTAATTAAAAATCGTTTTCCCCCTTGGCTTATTTTATTCAACGATATGTTTCAGGCAAGAAATTTCTTCTCTGCTATTGGTTTGGAAGGTTTCATTATGACGACGTTGTGTGCGGGAATGTCGCCGGTTAAATTATATCGCCAGCTGTTTGTACAAGTTTTGCTGATGGGTCCGTTGAGATTTATCGGTGTAGTCTATCTCTTCATCTTCCAAAGAATCATTGCACAGTGCAAGCAATATACGAATTCTGAAAACATAAAGAAGGTTAAGTGAGAAAAAAGGTTCCTTATAATATTTTGTGATCTATGATTTGAAAAGAAAGATTTCTGATGATATTCTGCGAACTTAAAAGATTGATGAGATATTGCTTCCATTCTAAGTTATAGAGTTTATTTAATATGGATTTAATATATTTTCTTGCTCCAAACGTTTGTGTAAAATCGCAAGACTATGGGTTGTGCTTTCTTTTATTTTTTTAAATAAACCGTATGATATGCGTGGGTAATTGATGTTAATACAATGATGAATATAAATTGCGTGAAAGGAGATAAATATGTACGTAAGACAAATTATTTTAGTACAATGTAGAGAGAGACGCAGTGCGATGTACAGAGGAGCGAAAGAAATAAAACACCTTCTTAACGGTTTGGCTTACTTTTATTAGGTATTCCGTAAGTTCATAGTATAATGTTTTTTTTTTCTTTTATTAAGCTTTTATGGTTCTTACACACATAGAACGGGACTGCTCTTCGTCCCGTTTCTCGCCACAATAGGTTAAAAACGGAAACGCTGAAACTGGTATGTAAAGAGTACTCTCGTGGACGGGGCTCCGTTCGACGTCGATCGCGTCCGCCCATCTGTCTGTCGCTGGTAAAAGAATTGAGCTCGCGCTCGAATGCGAATAACGAATAAATTTCTTCCCACGTGTGTGTCCGTCTAAAATCCAATAAATAGTATCATGCAGCCGCGATCGGGCGCCGAATGGGCGTGGTCGCGTCCAGCTTTCGAAAAACGAGACTAAACTTATACGTAGAAACGGCGGTCAACGAAGATCTGTCTTCCGAAATTGCGAGTCCGGTAATGATGGGATTTAACATTGATTTATTATCACTCTTTCACTCCCTCTTTTTCACATTCTCTCACCCTCTCACGCGCATATTTTAAACTTTTGCACCGCACATCTTCCCACATTCGCACTAATATCTTTCGCTTTCCTCGGCATCATCTCGTAGATTCGTTAATTCTATTTTCCTCTCGTTAACCCTAAAGCGCTTTAGGTGTATACAGATGCGAATCCATGAGACGAGGCTTGCCTCGAGGAATATTTCCAGAGTGTCTTGCTGTTTTATTTTTCTTTTAACTTACGCTTATCTTTTTAAATCGATCGTCCGCTTATCCGCGCGCTCGACAAATTTTACCTTTCCTTTCTCCTCCCTGCGGCTTCAAGAGATTTCCTTTATAGTCCACCCTTTACGGCGGGGGCAGCCGTAAATCACCTTCG